ACGTAAACAAATGTCTAAACTATTGTACGGCAACTTAAATTAAACGGTGTTTTATGCGAAGTAGTTTCCCCATCTCGTAGTTTCCCATCTCGAAATACTTTTAAGCCAAATTTTGTCACTTCTTTCGTGCTTTTAGGTACAGTATTTTCTTTAAAATTTAATTTATTTCTTCATCTGTCACTTCGACGAAACCACTCGCCGCCATTTTGAAAAAACCGCTTAGGTGATTATCGCGTAATAATCCGAGGTCGCTTGACCAATCAGCGGCCACAATTTTCGATAATCACCTTTGTAATTATACTAATATTCATTAATCATTATTAAATGTATTTTTGGCACTGAAGTTACCTTCATAACTTCATTCATGTTTGTGATTGAAGTTCAAGCCGGATATTTTTAGTATACAGCACATTGATATTTCGCAATATTCGTATAGCGTATATAGCATATTCAATGTTGGATTGTATCATACATGAGACTACATTCTAATTCTTAGCGCACAATTGCTACTGAATTCAGCGCAACCTGCTTTGCTTGCCGTGGCTTTCTTCTCTGTCTTCTGGCATTTCATAATCAAGTACGGCGGCTGAATAAACTAAGTGCGTCACATGCAGTCATATCAAAACAGACAAAAAATAAGAATCGCCGCAAAATCTGATGCTTTGCATATAATATTTTTACTATCTTTGAATTGCGCCCCCCCCCCCCCTGTAAGCTATTATCATGTATATCTCCTGTACGTAGTGCAAAATGCTCTAATTTTCATAAATTATGAACGGTTCCACGTTCCGGTCCTGTATCGCTGTATCGTTGTATGGCTGTATCAGGCGCGGATCCAATGATTTTTCGTACGTTATTCAAAGTTTTCAGATGTACAATCTAGTTTTGCGAGCGGTGAATGCGCGAGGCACCTGGGGGGGGGGTCTGTCCCCCAGGGTGTCTATCCCCAGGAATTTTTTTATATTTAAACCTCAGAAACGCCATTTGCAGCACTCTGAAAGCAGCTTCATCAAAAAATTAACCTCATGAATTGGGAGATAATTATAGCAATCATCAGTCTCACTGACTCTCACAACTTGCTCCTTAGAGAAATTTAAAAGAGAAGTACTTGCAGAAATGTGATAAGTGTGGAAGATGTTTCATTTTATCAAATTACGGATTGCTAGTATTATGTTTAACTAACTCATGATGGTATTACACTCATTTATGTTGCCTAATAGCCTTGTTGAGTCATTGATCACTTGACTAGTAATCACTACAGTGTCATGTTACTCAAATAAACATATATCAATATTAAAGTTTGAACATTCATCAATAAAACCTGACCTTTAGATCCTATGTATGCTGCATTAATGCATTTATATCGGTTATCCTCAATATTAATAGCCTCCTGAGTTCTGACCGTCCTTCAACCGCACAAATATGCAAATGTGTTGTGTAAATCAAAATTCATGGCTAAATCAAGATACGCGTATTTACATATGCGTGGCGTGCATCTTGTTCGTTTATAAATATTGTTATGCTGTCTAAAACGAAATAAAATTTACATATCACATTAAATTTACCTTATTGCACTTCAGAATAAAGATCTCGGCGCCAATACTTCTGCTCAAACAGTCAAACTGTAGTTCGTGCTACTCATAGCGCCTAGCAACTGCTCACTTGATCGAACTCTCCGATATTTAGCGTCGATTTCCCTCCCAAGATCAGCGCAACAGTCTTGTAAGACAGCTAAATCATTCACCGCAAATGCGGATTCAACCGTTTCATGAATACTACAAGGATGGGACCAGCAGACATTTCTGAATTTTCCGTAGATATATATCTTTAAATTGAATCTTTCGACAAAGCTCCAACATGACACTTCGAATGAGCGCGCGCTGGGAAAGACTTTACCACGCGTGAAATATAATATTAATGATATTCAGACTAATGGGGCGCCCCTGACTTTTGTAAATCGGTCAGAACTCCCCACATTTCCATGAAAATAAGCGTCTAGACCAATCAGAACACTGGATTTTTACTTTTTGACTGACCGACTTTGCGTATGTCTGCTCATTGACTTGACTATGACTTGACTAAGCTCGTCGGCTCAGCCACTGTATGAAATTTGATCACTGGACTACAGTTCAATTGGAATGTTAATTGCTAGCGCTGCATGATAATAGATACTGGACTATTATAAAGTGCCACTGCATGATAAAAAATAACTGGACTATTGGTCGAATATTTAATGCTTTAATCAGACTTTAATTTAAGTTTGTAATTTTTACGTTAGTCGCGTGACTGGTTTGACGACCCCTAGATCCGCCCCTGGGCTGTATCGCTTTTTAGTCGTAGCCGGTTATATGTACAAGCGGATGAGACTTGAAACTTAATCCTATATTTACAAAGCACGCCATTAAATTAACATGTTATGTGACCGCGGTATATTTAAATGTCTAGCTTTTAAATGTTACTTAAAAGGAATTTTTTATTATGCCTACATGCTGATACTCAT